AGCAGGTCTGAATCACTGTGCCTGTCCCAGTTGGCACAGTAATAGACCCCAGAATCATTTTCAATTAGATTTCGCAGTATCAATATCCAACTCCACCTTGTGCGTGTATGAGTATAATACTTTCCTGGACTGAGTCCTGATTCCAACACATCCCTTGAGTTGGAGACGTCATAGTACAGAAGACGCTGTGGGACCTTCCCCTCCTGGTGTAGGTACCAGTGGATATAAAAGTTACTGTCTCCAGAAAAATCACAAGTTATTTCAGCAGATGACCCAGTTGGCCTGGTGACTGACTTTGTTATCCCTTCCAAGTTGGAAGATTTCTGACCAGCTGCAATGGGAAACGACAAAATATAATGAGGCATTCCTTAGTATGGCACCCCTTGCAAAAGAAGAAGACAAAACACAACAGAACCTATGAGCCTCTCTGTAGGCAGCACACTCACCAGGAAACAAGAAAGCTAGAAGCAGGGCTAGGGCCCACCGCATGCCTTCCTCTCTGGGACCTTGAAAGAAAAGGGACAAGATGAAGAGGAGCAGAAGACCCTCTCAAAACTCAGGTGCCACTCAACAAGAAAGTGATCCCTAGCACAGAAGACAGCAGGAGGAGCTGGTCTTCCTGAGACACAGGCAGAGAGAAGTGACTGAGGATCTGTCTCAGGGGACTCCCAAGCCTTCCTTCCAGAAGAGGTGGTGCCTGGGAAGACCTGCAGAGGAACTCCTGCCTCTCTGCTCAGGTCCGTTCTCCAGCGCCCTCCTGTGGCCGCTGAGAGTAGGCCGTCTGCGGAAGAGAGCCCAGGGCATGGAGAGCTCAGGCCTCTGGCAGAGGGACTGCAGATGTAGGGGAAGCTGACCCCCGAGTTAACAGGCTCAGACCTTGGAGGGGGCAGTCCCACAACAGGCTCACATCCTGCCCTTCAGGCTTGCAGCAGCTAATGCTGAAGCCAGGGCCTTGTCCTGACAGGAAGCCTCTGATTAGGGCCCTGAACTGCCTTCCTTTTTGCATCTGCAGACACATGAAGGCAACCACTCAAGGCCACTCTGAGAAGGGTTGAAGCTGCTTTATTAAAAGGACTGAGGATCAGTACGTTGGTGGGTGTTGGACTGTGCTCTAAGGTAAATGGGTGTATGTGTGTCTGTGGGGGTGTGAGGCAGGGGGTGCCTGTGATCCTGTGGGTGTGATCTCTTTTTTAGAGGATTTTTGTTCGTTAAAGTAGGAGTATGAGTTTTTTGGTTTTTTTTGTTTTTTGTTTTTTTTTTAAGTAGTACTGGGTGCCATATCATGTAATATTTGGAAATACTTAAATTAAAAACTTGTTATTTATCTGAACTTCCAAATTGTCTGGTATTGAATATTTTATTTCTCAGCCCTACCCTCAGAAAGTGGACTGAGATCTGCAGTGCGCCTGGATTTACAGATGGAAATATAGGGGACAAAACAAGTACAGTAATATAATTGTGAAAATTCCCTACAGCATACACAGATTTTCACACCTCTATAAGTAGCATATAGAGACACACGTTTGAAATATGCATAATGAGATATAGAACAATGTCCTTCTCGGTTGTGGTGTTGGCCCAGCTCAGAGAGTTCAGTTTCTGCTGTCATCACAGCTGGGAATGAGAAAGGGAGGAGGCTCCGGTTGGTCTCCCTCTGCCTCTGGACCACACGTGCAGGACATGAGGCTGCCACAGGAGCAGCTCTGAAAGCTGAGTTATCGGGGTCCTTGTGAAGCCGGAGAGCTTGCCTGCCTTGGAGCGTGAAAAAGTCTTGCTGGACACAAGTCTCATGGTTCAAAAATGGGAAGGGAGAGAATTGAGATCACACTAGAATGCACAGAAAATTCTTAAAAGAAAAAAATAATGAGAGAAACCTCATCAGAATGTGAAAAGAACTATAAAGCTACAGTGCTGAAGAGAGGGCAATACCGGCACTAGAATGACAAGATTCAAGGAACACAGTGGAAAATCCAGAAAGAGAACCACATGTATATAATATTTTCTCATGTGATAAAGTTATATGTTAATATCCACAAGGAAATAGTCAATTATTTAGTAAGTTCTCTTTTGGGTATTGACTTACTATATGGAAACAAATATTGTTGCATTTCTATGTTACCAGTCACAAATACTGACTTACATGTAATAAAAAGAAAATCATTAGATTTAAACGATGATGAATTGCATACAAATTCTAGGTGAGATTGGCCTCTCTAAGCCTGACATCAAACGAGACACCCTAGAAAAGTTGATAGAATTGTTTTTTTTTAAAGGACAAATTCACCAAAAGGTGTCAAATGTAAATAATAACAAATGAGGAGAAATACCTTCAACACATTTGATAAAGGGTCAGTATCTCTAAAATGGTGTATATTAATTCTTACGACCAAGGAGAGAATATTAATCCTCCAAAAGAAGAATAGACAAAGAGTATGACAAGGCGATTCTCAAAAGAAGAAGTATAAATGACCTATAAAGTTGTAAAATAATGCTAGTAGTCTTAAAGATGGGGGAATGCAAACTGAATTAACAAATCTCATTTTCGGGACCACAGAGCTTGGATTAAAGCATATGACTTTAAGGAATGTTAATTAACCCCCGAATTTCTAATGTTAAATTCAACAGTACTTTAAACCTTTAATGAAGTTTCTGTATAGATTAAATAAAATAGAAAGTAATGTATTTAGTAAATTAACTACCAGAATGTCAGTACCCATATTTACCATCAATATTATTATTATTATTAACTTTTTTGAGACAGTGTCTCGCTCTGTTGCCCAAACTTGATAGCAGTAGTGTGATCTTAGCTCACTGAAATCTTTACCTTCCAGGCTCAAGTGATTCTCCTGCCTCAGCATCCAAAGTAGCTGGGGTCACATGTGTGCACCACTACAGCCAGTTAATTTTTTGTATTTTTAGTAGGGACAGGGTTTCACCATGTTGGCTAAGCTGGTTGCAATCTCCTGGCCTCAAGTGATCCTAACAACCGGACTACCTAAATGCTGGGATTACAGGATGAGCCACCAGGCCTGGCCAGTATTATTATTACTAATACAGTAATTATTGTATAAAAATTCCTGATAGACCAATGATGCCATCATTAAATAATCAATGCATCAAAACATTCAAATACATGATATGGATTTCCGTATGCATACTTATGAAGTATGTGCACCTTTAGAAGTCAGACACAAAATCCAGACATGGGAAAATAAGAGATTGATTAAAATGTATAAAAACCAAATATAGGAACAAAAAATATAAATATGTCATTTAAATAGAATTGATACATACTGTGCTATGACAAACAATGTTAAAAAGTTCAAGAAAACTCATAAAAATATTTTTACCTATAGGGTGAGGGGGAAAAGAGGAACGAGAACTCTACAATGGATGCTAAAATCTTCAAATGGATCTTCTATAATTTTGACTTCAGTTCCATGTAAATGTTTTATATATACAAAACAAATATGAAACAAAACAAAGTAACACAACAAATTTCCAAAATATAAAAATGAAGATTGAACATTCAAAGTAACTGCATCAATGTTGGCACGAACAAATAGAGGAAAATTATTTCAAATGATTTTGTGGAAAAAGTAGTCTGATTATGTACCCAAAAAGGAAAGAAAGAGAGATAAAAGCAAAGAAGGAAGGAAGGAAAAAAAGGAAGGAGAATGGATGGAAGGAAAAAGGGAGGAAGGGAGGGAAGGAAGGAAAAAGGGAGGGAGGGAGGGATGGAGGGATGGAAGAAGGAAGGGAGAGAGAGCAAAATAATAAAAGCAACCAAAGAAGTAAGAAAGAAGAGAGAGAGAATAAAAGGGAGGGCAGAGGGAGAGAATGTTCACCTGCATATCTAGGCCTGGTGTTTTAGTGGTAATTATGGCATTGCTTATATTGTTATAGACATAAGGAATAAGCACCACTCTCGGCTGTGATCTCTGGATCATGGGATACACGATTCAGTATAAATACCCTTCCCATTTGCTGTCCAAAATATCTTGCTTCACAGCTGGACCCTAGGTGTACCTGTCTGTCCTAGGCAGCAGAGTGAGTGGGCCTCCCCCACGTCCTAGGAGAACTAAAGAACCTTGCTCTCAGCCAGGCTGCTTCGCTAAGGCTTAGCTGAGATGGCAGCTTGGTCTTCAGGGAAGTCCTGGGGGAGGGTGGGGAACAGGGGGCAGCTGCTGCCAGGGGAGTGTAATCCTGTAGGGGAGATCAGGAGTTAAGCTGTGTTTCTCTTGTTCAGCGTACAGTAAATTGGGTGGCAGGAAGTGAGAGGGGGTGGTTCTGTCTTGTGTACTAGAAGCAGCCACACGGCAGATTTTCAGTATGGTGTTCAGCAGGTCTGAATCACTGTGCCTGTCCCAGTTGGCACAGTAATAGACCCCAGAATCATTTTCAATTAGATTTTGCAGTCTCAATCTCAAGTTCCTCCTCCTTGTGCTTCCATAACTATCATACTTTCCTGAACTGATTCCTGATTCCAACACAACCCTGGAGTTGGAGGAGTCATAGTACAGAAGACGCTGTGGGGCCTTCCCCTCCTGGTGTAGGTACCAGTGGATGTAGAAGCTACTGACTTCAGGAAGATCACAGGTGATTTCAGCGGATGACCCAGTCGGCCTGGTGACTGACTTTGTTCTCCCTTCCAAATTGGAAGATTTCTGACTGGCTGCAATGGAAGCAACACAAAATATAATGAGTCATTCCTTAGTATGGCACCCCTTGCAAAAGAAGAAAACAAAACAAAACAAAACCTCTCTATAGGCAGCACACTCACCAGGAGACAGGAGAGCTAGAAGCAGGACTGGGGCCCACCACATGCCTTCCTCTCTTGGGCCTTGGAAGGAAAGGGATCAGATGAAGAGGAGCAGAAGATCCTCTCAAAACTCAGGTCCCACTCAGCAAGGAAGTGATCCCTAGCACAGAAGACAGTAGGAGGAGCTGGTCTTTCTGAGACACAGGCAGAGAGAAGTGGCTGAGGATCTGTCTCAGGGGACTCCCAAGCCTTCCTCCCAGCAGGGGTGGTGCCTGGGAGGACCAGGCAGTGGAGCTCCTGGCTCTCTGCTCAGGTCCATTCTCCTGCGCCCTCTTGTGGCAGCTGAGAGCAGGCCCTCTGCAGGAGAGAGCCAGGGGCGTGGAGAGCTCAGGCCTGCAGCAGAGGGAGTGCAGATGTGGGGAAAGCCGACCCTTGCACCAGCTAGCCATGGCCCTTGGGAGAGGGCAGTCCCACAGCAGGCTCACAACCTGCTCTTCAGAGTTGCAGCAGCTAATGCTAATGCCAGGACCTTCTCCTGCCAGGAAGTCTCTGATTAGGGAAATGAACCACCTTGCTTTTCACATCTGCAAGGACACTTGGAGGTACCACCCAAGGCGTATGTTTATTGCAGCACTATTCACAATAGCGAAGACTTGGAATCAACCCAAATGTCCACCAATGATAGACTGGATTAAGAAAATATGGCACATATACACCATGGAATACTATGTAGCCATAAAAAAGCATGAGTTCATGTTCTTTGTAGGGACATGGATGAAGCTGGAAACCATCATTCTCAGCAAACTAGCACAAGGAAAGAAAACCAAACACCGCATGTTCTCACTCATAGGTGGGAATTGAACAATAAGAACACATGGGCTCAGGGTAGGGAGCATCACACAGTGGGGCCTGTAGTGAGGTGGGGGGAGGGAGGAGGGTTTGCACTGGCAGAAATACCTAATGTAGATGATGAGTTGATGGGTGCAGCACACCAACATGGCACATGTATACATAAGTAACAAACCTGCACGTTGGGCACATGTACCCTAGAACTTAAAGTATGATAAAAAATAATAATAAAAATAAATAAAATAAAATAAAAAAGGACTGAGGATCATGTGTGTGGGTGGGTCTTGGACTCTGTTCTAAGATGAATGGGTGTATGTGTGTGGGG